GACAAGACGTTGTTATTGTTGAGTTCATTGCGCAACGATGAATATAAGATATTCATTCTTACTCTTATCAATGGGAAGACATCTCTTTCGTATAGTGAGGTCACCACTGCACTTGTGAATTATCAGCTTTGAAAGAAGGATAAGGAGACTTCAGTTGAGCCGGTAGCGGGGGTATTTGTCGCAAGAACAAAGAGTCCAAATTATGGTAGAAGATCGCAGTCTAGAGGGGCACATCCTGGAGTTCGTAGGAATCAGTGTGTCTTTTGTAAAGAGGGTGGACATTGGAAAACCGAATGCCCAAAGTTGTTTGATCGAGCCAGGAAGAATAAGGGAAGAGCTATTCAAGCTTCAGAGGTGAATGTTGTCAAGGTTAGTGACGACAATTCAGATTCGGATTCTTTGGGCTACTCATTAGCATTATCGTTAGTTTGTGTTACTGACTCTATAGAGTGGATATTAGATTCGGGTGCCTCTTACCATATTTTCTCTAGGAGGGATTGGTTCTCCAACTTTCAAGAGTTGGAAAGAGGGGATATTGTGCTCATGGGTAATGATCATGAATGCTCTATTTGTGGTATCGGTACCATTCTAATTAGGATGTGTGATGGGGTGATTAAGGAGTTGGATGAAGTGAGGTTCGTTCCTCATTTGAAAAAGAACATCATTTCACTTGGAGTTATGAAGGCAGCAGGCTATAGGATGGCCTTAGAGGATGCATGTTTGAAGGTCACATCCATGATTGTGATGAAGGGCGTCAGAAAAAAGAATTTGTGCTATTTGATTGGGAGCACGGTGTTTGATAGAGAGCTAACGACTTCTTTGGATTTGGCTAGACTGCGGCATTTGTTGAGGCTGTGATATTTGATTGGTTATGTCGTGCATGAGTTGTTGAGGAGTGCTTTGACCTACAGATTGAAATCCTTTGAGCATATTAATATGAGCAAGAAGACCGAGGTAGAGTTTAGCACTTCTATCCATAGATCAATGGGTCTTTTAGGTGGTGTTCATTAAGGCATTTAGGGGCCTTCCAAGGAGGCATCATTAGGAGGTAATCAGTATTTGGTTTTCATAGTTGGGGACTATTTTAGGTATTGGTGGGTTGCAATCAAGTCCTGTTGGTGTGAAGTCCTAGAAGTCAACAACATATGGAGGAAGTGTATTGACAGATAGGTAACCTGTCGTTTTATTTTTGGTAGGGGTTCTTTCTTGCGTTTGTGCCGAGCTCGCGACAGTTTGAGATACTTCATTAGAGAGGAAATATTAGGGTGACGAGATGATATGATAGTTTTGATGGGTCGTTCCTTGCTGGAGGAGGACCGGAGTTAGTTGTCAAGCATTGGATTGCAGAGGAGTTTTGGAGCTTCAACATATTTGGGTTATTTTAGTCATAAGTTGTCGACTACTGCGTGTGGAGATTTTAGATCTGGTGGAGCTACTGCTTCATATTTTAGGTTGCGTCGGGTATTTGATTGCCCAGCATTTGGTCACATCGAGGATGTAAGATTTGATCTGATAGCACATTTGGGATTCAGAGGCGTATTTGATTATCATGTATTGACTTCTGATTTTCTTCTGAGCAGGTATGTCACTTTTAGCTCTTGACAGGTGGAGAGTGTTGATCAGATCGTTGGGATATCACAGTGGATGGAGGGTGATGCTACTCCACGTTGAGTGGAGATTACTCTACATACTCCAGATCATACTGCATCATTTAGGATTCCAACTGAGGTGACACAGTTTATGGATCATTTGGATTTGGATGCAGATGATGAGTTGGTTGATTTGGATGCAGATGATGAGTTAGTTGATTTGTGTGCAACTAGTGGACATAGTTTCGATTTAGATATGACCATTGGTTCATCTCAGTTGGAGGTGTTTAGTTTGTTTTAATTTGAGGCCATTGGGAGAGCTATCAGTTACAGATTCGTTGGTGACGTTGGAGAAGAGCTGCGAACTATTTTATTTGATTGAGGGCCTTTAAGAGGATATGTAGGTAGTCATTTATGATGTATCCGGTTTGGTGAGTAGATACCAATGTTTGGAGAGTGATCACATTCTTATTTGGGTCTCGACTTGTTGTGAATTGAGTCCGTTATCGTGAATTTGTTTTACTTCGTATTGGACGTAACAAGTGAGACGTTTGGTTGGTATTAGTGTCGGCTCGATTTTGAGAAAACTTCGCTGAGGTGGAGATTTGTGGAGAATTCATATTTTGGTCCAGATTTTACAAATTTTGTGTCATAAGTCGACTCATGCACAAACATAAGTCGACTTATGATAAGTCAACTTGTGTCTGTGCATGAGTTGATTTACATTCTGTTTTGGAATTGTTATTTTAGGCTCTGGCAAGTCGACTTATCAGGACTGTTAAGTCGACTTACGTTTTGTTCTCCAGTTGTTGATTTTTGCTCTGCCAAGTCGACTTATAGCCCCTAATAAGTCGACTTATAGCAGCTTTTCTGCACAGTTTGAGTTCCTATTTGGATTATGTTTGGGTTTTTGTTTTGATATAAATAGGAACATATTTTTTAGGGTTTGGAAGGCTTGAATTGGGGATATTTGGAGCACAGAAATAAGGTATTTTCTGAGCTATTGGTTAGGGTTTGTTTGGAGAGAATTAGAGATTTGTTGGTGAGATTAGTTGGTTGGTTTGAGTGATTTGTAATCTCAGTTTGTACTCTTCTTCTCTATTAGTAAAAAAAATCATTCCCTTCTTGCCTTGTGGACGTAGGCAACTTGCCGAACCACGTTAAAATTGATTGTTTGTGTTTGTGGCATTACTTTGGTTTGTTTAGCCTTCTCTCGGCGTTTGTTTTTTTTTTGTTCCTCGAAGCACATCGGTTTTGGCTTCCGCGCATAACATGCTTGTCTTACAAGTTCAATTTTAAGTATGATTGAGTTATAGTTTCCACTTACATAATTTGAAGCATACAGAGCACAGTAATGTGACTCACACTCATGTATTTAATCCCACCATCCATTAACTTATATTCACTCTCATCTTTCATACTCCTTGTATTTTGCCCACTTGACATCCACGGAGGCTACAATTTATCAAGCTTTAGTTTTGCAAATCTAATACTATTATAAAAGTGTGTTGCCATATTAAAACATTTCTTCTAAAAATACCCTCCGAAACACATACATGCATACATCTCTAGCACATCCATACATGCATACATTAAGATATATACATACTTATTTTTTCATAACCTCCCTATTTATTAGCATCAAATTTTTATTTAACCACCCACTAATAACATTCTCCCACTAAGACTTGACATTACACACTAATAATGAAAAACGTTACAACTATTCATCTTCCATAAATCACTATAAATTACTATTATAACATTCCCCCACTAAGTCTTGACATTACACACTAATAATAAAAAACGTTATAACTATTCATCTTCTATAAATCACTATAAATTACTATAGAATCTTATCAAATTTCTCTAACCAAAATTCTAACTTTTAATCAAAATTTATTCATATTAAAAAGTAAGGAGACACAACTACAACACTTACAAACCGCAAGAAGTGTGAGTGTGTCAATGGTAACATCACTGGTGGAGTACAATCGAATTGAATGAGGAGATGGTAATGGAAGCATCAGTATAACAATTTAGAGAGCAGATAAAAAATCGGTGAAAGACAAAGAAGGCGGTCCTGTATTTTATCAAAATTTGTAGCTATTTCAGGCATAAACTAATTGGTTTTTCCCCCTTCCATCTTCGTATATGTTTTTGCCGTAGCATGTAAATTGGTTTCCAACTCCTAGGCATGTTTGTAAATATGCTAAATTGTTTGTATAGTTTAGTTGAATCTTTTAATGCATTATGTTTATTCTCGGAATAAAGAAAGCTTTGTCCATGACAATGCATTATAAATGTAATTGTTTTCACTCTATATGTGTAAAGGGTTAATTTTCGTTCTATGGTCAATAAGGCAATACATTAATATTATTGGGTTATAAAGGACAAAGAGAAAGTGGATGAAGATCAATTTAGAAAATGATATAGTTAGTTGAACCTGAGGATGCTTATAGAATGGATTACTACTACAATTTTAAGAGTATTATGAATTTTCTGCTATTAATTATAATTTTCTTCTATTAATCTACTATTTGAGTATAATAGTTAATGTATGATAATTATAATATATATTGATATCACATTAATATAAAATATTTATATGAATTATTAAATATGTGCAATTATCAAATATAATATGAGTAGAAAGTTATTTATTTACCAATTCAAATAAATAAATATATAACATAACATTACAGTAATATGAAAAGTCGTTAACTTTTCATTATTTCACTGTCTTCTTAACCCCCCCTTCAATAATGAACTCATTCATGAAGGGTTACCAATTTCTCCATTAACCATCTATAAATTGTATTATTATAACAAATAGGTAAAATTATACATAATTCCCTCTTCTATATCTTTAGTTGCACTAAATCCTCCTCAATATACTAGCACTTAATACCCTTGAAATGCAATTTTAGAGATATAAATTGCAAGTATCAAATATAAATTGGGGACTCTAAGAGCTAATAATAAACTAGAGGAGGTTTAATAATTTCTAGAAAGATAATTTCAAAATGACATCCTTCTCTCTCATGTAAATGTACTTGAGTTTCTTGCTTTACAGGTAGTTTATATTTTATAATAGAAACATGTGTAAGCTAATTTTCTATGCAGAGAGTTATTGTTTTCGATAAAAATAACTTATTCATGACCCCCTACAAATATACTCATTTAATCTTTATGCATTCTCATTTCATTGAATAAATATTAATTCTTTATTAATTACTATAATATCTTAATAACTATTCACTTTCTAACCTAATAGAAGCAAAAGAATTCCAAAATATTGATCAACAAGTGTGCCTACGTGCAACGCACGTACACGATACTAGTACAATTCTAAAAGTGCTTATCCGTATAAACATGCGACATATATTCCATTGTCGGGGGAAATGCGCCTATAACAAATTGCTGCTTATACATCAAGAAAACCTGCATATACGCTTATAAATATTCACAATGTCAAATTTACATGTCCCCTCAAGATGAATATCTGCTGGTAGACAACTTATCAAACCATCAAATTAATCTCTGTAGTTAAGATAACACTTTAGTTCTCTTCTAATGTCATCTTTACAAATCTTTGACAGAGCAGTCCTCTCTATTTTCCTAATCCATTCCTTGGTTACACAACTGAGCTTTGCAATCTCACCAAAAGACTTGCATCTTCCATCTATAAGGCCATATCTTAGCAGTATAACTTGCCTCTCTCTTGTTTCAAGGCTCTCCAAGAGCTCCATAATGTCATTATTCATGTGCTGCCTCCCGATAATTGCGTCAGGAGATTTTATTGATGCATCTGGTGTAACTTCCTGCAGATAAAATTGGGGCAAGATCAAAGTATGTACTGAAAGTTTACAAGTTCTATCAGCAGTCATATAATTGCCCGATACGGATAATTTATACACTTGGAAACTTGTCGATAACCTTCAAATGCATTTGATGGTTCACATGACGTGAAGCAGATAGCTGATTATAGACGAGATAACCTCATCTAAGAATATGCACACTAACATATAACTCTTTAGTGAATGAAAATACATCTTAAAATGCTATTAGTTAGAGTTTAGAAGTGTAGATAAACTGGTGCAGGTGTTGCACATTCATAAAAGCACCAAAGTACCAATCTAAACTGCACGTGATACAAGTTAAGCTTTTAAATAACACTTTCTTTAAAAGGGGGGAGGTTTTAATGTTCAAACCTACAAAAGCATATAATGTACAATGAAGTCGAACAATCTGGTCTGCTTACATTGATCACCATACTATTAAAACTATCCGAACAAACAAATAAACATTAATTCTTATGAGTTCTCACTTATGTGTTACGAGTCCTAATATCAGAAGACCATTCATTTTGGAACCACTTGGCACATGAGTGAAAGAACCATACAACGGCATGATCTTTGTGTAGAGAACTTTAATAGCACGTAGAAATCATCACAATTCATCACATAATTTTATAGGCGAACACGACTAGCTTAATTATGTCCTGGCAGTATTGAATCTCTCTCCTATTTAAATGGTTTGAACCTGGCGGTTGAAAGTTTGCTTCACCACTTCTAGCCAATTTAATTTGACTGAACCCGAATTTTAACCAGTATTAAAGAGAAATTGGTGATTCTGATGTCATACCATAAATTTTAGGCGCCATCCATCTACAATTTCTTTATCTAGAGAAGCCGCAACTCTAGAGCATCTTCTAGCTACTCTGACATTAGCTAATGAAAGACCAGTGAGCTCAGCCATCTCATCATCCTCTGGGTACCTACCTTCTCCGTCATAAAACGTTCTCCTGGCTGTCTGTATCCTCTTGATAGATCTTTCCACAGTGACCTAAATCAACAAAAGAAAACCCACACATCAAGCGAATCCAGATAGAACTCATGATCTGATAAAAAAGAATGGAACCAATTAAACTAAAATGAGGACATACTGGTATTTGAATTGGTTTAGAATGATGTGCTAACAATGCTAACATTGATTTTCTAATCCAATACTGAACATATGTTGAGAACCGATATCCTCTCGTGTTGTCAAACCTCTCTGCACCTTTAAGGACACCAATATTTCCCGCCTGTGGTATGTTTTCATGATTTTTATATAATCATATTCTAGAATAAGAGTCCAACCTGATCATTAACAAATGGACAACTAAGGTGCATCTTTATGGACCTGAAGTAGATCATCAAAGGCTATTCCCTTTCCTCTGTAGTTCCTTGCTAGGTACATAACTAGCGAGTTTGTGCTCTTTATTAGCTTATCTCTGCAATACCAACCGAATTGTAAACGCCTCTGAAGTGTCTTTTGATCAATCCCTGCTGCTTTTGCCCACCTTGCATAACTGGCTGAATGCCCAATTTCCCCTTCCAATTTCAAACGGACATTGTCTAGGTCGGCAATTTCCTGAAATTTGGAATATAACTATTGGATTATTCTTTTGGAAAATAAAAAAAGGGCGTTTAGGTATTGGTCCCTTAACCATTCATATTTTTAAATTAGACTCTCAAACCTTTGAAATTGTTATTTAATCACCCAAATCAATAAGTTATTCTAGTTTAGTCCTTCTGTTAGTTTCTCTGTCCAGCTCTTTGACCCTAGCTGGGTTAGTGTTTAACATGACATAGAATGTTACCTTTATATCCTTCAGTCAAAGAAATTCAAGCTTTGAGGTTTGGAGCTATGAATGAGTTAGAGGGGATTCCAAAGGATTGAGAAGCGAAAGAGTTTTTGCCCATTGGAAAATTGGATTTGAGGAAGAAAATGTGAAGTTCGGGTCTGTGTTCATATGGGGTTTTGATATTAACTTCAACTCAAGGGTAACGGAAGAAACTGTCAAAAGCTTAAGTTTGATGCTATATTCTACACAGCCCAAAGGACAACTCACCGCAAGGACTAATTCGGAGTAATGACATAAGAAATTCCGAAGATTTGGGGGACTAATTTAAAACTACGAAAGATTTTGAAGACCAATACCTAAATAAACCCCAATAAATTAATGACGAAACATGCACTGCGTAACATACCTTAACTCCCTTGGCCATTTGTGCCTCCTTTCGAGCAATGAAAGGCCTACTTCTTGACTCTGAAGGGCCCTCAAGCCCGCCCCAACGGGTGAATGCTGAAACTTTAGGATCTTTAACTTTCTCGGATCTTTTTGAAGATGCTCTCATCCTTCTTAATCTCCTTTCTTCACTTCTCCCACTACGAACAATTGTGGGAGCCTCTTGTCTACTCAAAGGGAAACTTGACGAATAACCCCTGAAATTCTCAGTAAGTAAAAAATCCGAGTTTATAGAAGTTGGGGCCATTAAGGTCCTGGAGAGACATGCACGAAATAATTTCAGAGCTCCAAGCTTCCCAATATGTAGCATAATATCTCTTTCTAGCCTCACCGCATCACCGCCCGCAAGAATGTCCTCTATTTCGCCAAGGTTTTCCATTAGTAAGCTAAACTGAATATGGCTACTAGATCTTCTTAGACTTTCAACACATGCAGGTGAATCCTCCATAGTGTTTATCGGGCTACTTGAATTGTAGGAACCTCTATAGAGCTCCACGTCATGTATCTGAGATGCCAAGAAGAAAGGGTACGTGTAAGTTCAGAGTCTTCAGGATTAACCCCAGTTCACGTAAAATAAACTCGAACATTGACCTTTGAGCTTCTCGTGCTTTGTGTTGCTCCAGAGGAATATGTGTAGGCTTTTGGAGCGTCTCGGTACACCTCACCTCCCTCTAAAACGAGATGATGGGTGGATCTTCCTGATTCGAACAAAGCTTCCCTACCCGTCACTGTAACATTTCGTGTACAAGTTAAGCCTCTATATATTTGCACAAAGATTCTTGCGTGATAATTGAAATAATATGTCGGAGAAAAAATGTCAAAATAATGATGCACTTAAATGAAAACCGTAGTGTTCCCAGTCCATGCTCATCTAGTAAGAAATCCCCTACACAAATGTAGGTCCGACAATAACGACCAGAAAAGCAGCATTTATCTCAATTCTTTCTTCTTCTTCTTCTTCTTCTTCTTTTGATTTTTATTTTATTTTACTTTATTTAAAAAAACATATATATCTCAATTATTGATTAATGAAATCAGCATTCGGAATTTTCCCTAAGCTTGGACGTAGATTGTAGATTAAAGGGAAAGATAAAAACATATCCAATGAGGGATTTTCACAAATCGATCACCGAGCTTGTAACCCAATCCGACTCAAGTGGCGAGGACCCAGTTGAATCCAAATCTTATATAACCATATATACATTTTGTTATGTGCATTTATGCCTAATACATCATACAAATACTGGTGAGGACTACTTTAATCAAAATTTGGACGTTAATGAAACGGTCAATGAACTTACATGCGGTAGGGTGTCTCAGTGGTTGCTTTGGAGCAGAGGGCTGGATCGGGAAAGCCCATCTCTTGTAAGAGGCTAAGGAACCAAACCCCATTTATTTTTGTGCTCTCACTTCAGAGCTCTGGATTAAACTATGAAGAAGAGTAATATAATACTCCGCATAGGAGAAAAGAAGATAAGAGAAGGGAAAATATCAGAGCAGAGCACCACCAGTTTTCCATCGTCGTAAAGGGTCACGTTTCTTCCCCCTTTTTCCACAACATCAAAATATCTGAGGGGATCCTGTTAGATGTGTACCGCATGAGGCCCGGCCCAAAACCGAACCCTGTTATTTGCGTAAACGCGATCTGGGACAATAATATGGGCCCAACACGCTCCACATTAGAATAATTTATTTTACCCCCCTGAACCCCACGAACCAAAAAAAAAAAAACCCAACTTTAAAGTAGGTCGTTCTACCTAAGAGAGTTTGTATAGTTGGCAAGCTGTCTATGAGTAGTTCTCCAAAGCCTTTAGGCTCTCTTGAAGAGCATCCTAAAAAAAATTAATTTCCTAGAGTTTTTGAGGCTGTGCATTAGGGGCGTGGTCTGAAGGATCGTTGTGAAGTTTCCTCATCAAACCGGGAAAAAAATAGGTCATTCTATATAAGCAACCTTTGACTGGAAATTTATATATAAACCACATTGAATTTTTTTTTTTTTGTAATGAACCATCTAGACTCACTTTTAAGTAAAATTCTTTCGAATTTGTTTTAATGATTGGGTGTTAAATATAAAGCCAATATATTAGACAAATGATTCTTAATGGAGGTTAGGTGAGGGTCAATTACAGAAATATCTTAACAAAAAAGCGGGTTCATATGGTTGATTTTGCAAAAAAACCCTTTAAAGATAGTTTATGTATAAATTAACAATCAAATATGTAACATTATTCATACTACTATCAATAGTGTCTAAAATGCATATTTTATCAACCTAATTTTAAAATTCAAAGTCCAAACTTAGAAATCTAAACCAATAAACATGATATACTATACACTAACTATTTAGAAATAAAAATTTTAAATTATTTCAACATCATTAACTCATTTATCATATACCTTAAAAATCAATAATTCAATTTTTTTCTTGAAGTTACTTTATTTTTCGTTCATTGATACATGACCTAAAAAACACATCGAAATTTTTTAAAATTTTATTCCTAAATGGTTGGTGTGTAGCAATCATATCGGTCGAATTAGATTTAATTAGATTTTCAATTTCCAACTCCAAATTTTAAATTTGATTTGACAATAACTATCTCAACTCATAAAACTTTTGGTTTTTCTATAGAGTGCCCATGGACACTCTATAAGAGAGGAAAGAGATAGAGAGAAATGAATAGCTCATGGACCTCCTGATTTGTATTAATTTTTGTGCATAATTCATTTTTCTCTATCTCTCTCCTCTTTTATAGAGTGATCATAGGCACTCTATAGAAAAACCGTAAAACTTCATATTTTAGGAAAGATTGAAATTGGAGAATTTTGCATGGAATGCCCTTGCACCTACCACTGGACCACCGATGACCGGTGCCAGCGGTGACGTGACTCCGAATACCACAGTTGCACTACTCTCCAAAAAATCTCTACTCAACTCCACGTCATCGTTTGGCCGGTTCATCTTCTCTCTCAAGAGGATGACTCTCACCGACGCAACGCAAAGCATTAATTTATACGGAACTATCCAAACCTTATTTATTCACACCAGGCCATTAATTCACCGTTTTTGCTTCACCAAAAAAAGATCTCGAAATTACCCCTAAATCTGTCCTCTAAATGCGGATTACACCATTCTCAACAAGGATTCTGCACTCAAGTTACTACAAACTCTACTTATTTCAGATTGAGGACTTCGTGTAAGACTTGTTTATTGTGTGCAGAAGTCCCTACATATATAGGTAGTACATTGTTGCAAAGCTCTCCCTGTTTGTTATTTTATTTTACTTATTTTAGCATTTAACAAAAGAAATTGTCTCTTCAAACACATTCCGTATATAAAACAGGATTGATGCCAGAAACAACAAAGTATTATACTCTGTGGAGGAATTTGGTTATGACACTCTAAATTACCTTGGAATATATTCAAACATTTTTAAATAGGCCAATATGGGTGTAATAGTCGTAACCATCCTTAGTATATCATATCATATATATATATATATATATCTATTGTAAATATAACAAAGTTATCCCTTTTTTTTCGTTACACAGAAATCAGAAATCACGAGCCCTAAACATTCGTTCATTTCATTCTCTATTCCGTTGGTTACGACTTCACTCCGGCAAGCCGTCCCACTATCTTAATTCATCAATTGCCAAAGATGATTATTATTCTCCTCATCATCACCGCACCCCCTCTGCCATCATCTCCTCAATTCTCAGATTTTAGGCACCGGGAAGGATCACGAAGGAAACTCATTGACGAAGCTTTTTATCAGAGAAAATATTCAGGTTTGATTTGATCATTTTCTAAAATTTGCTTATGAATTTTAAATTTCTTTCTCTGTGCGCTTTATTTCTTGATTATTAGATTTCAAATAACATTAGCTATGATATTTGCATATGTGAATATTCTTACATTTCCTAAATTCCTTAATTTCGTTCTGAAATTTTCGCATACTGCCCCATTAAGGATCCAAAAGCGTAGGGTTATTTAATGCTTACTTTTAGCTAGGGCTAGGCTTAATTAGGCTAGGAGTTGGAGTTAATTAGGCTTCATCAGGCGTAATTATCATTGGATTTGGATTTTGATCATATATGTTCTTATTGTATATGCCAGGATCTTTGATGTACATATAGGAAGGTTATGGGTTTGCTTTTGCTCACATGTTTCAGGATGCAGTTTTTATATTTTCTCTGTTTTATACATTCATAGCTCTGCTTTTAACTTTTCTCGGCGCATTTATCATACTCCCTTTAAAAGCACGAGTTCGGAAAATCTTTTTTAGACAAATATACCCCTTTATAGTTTGAACTACCTTATCTATAATCAAATTCTAATTTTCAATGGTCAATATTACCCTTCACTATTTTGAATATTTTATGTATATATTAATCTATCCTAATCATAGTCATATCTTATCCTAATCCTATGTGAACCATGTTTAGCTTAACAATTTAAAAAAACTAATATTAATAAAATATATAAAACATAAAAATAATATTAGTTTGTTAAGATAAAGAAATTACAAGTAGATAACATATTAAAATACATGAAGTATTGCAAAAAAACCATAAAAAGTTTTAAAATTACAGAAAAGACCCTGAAAAGTTCAAAATTATAAAAATCATCCTAATGTCTCAAAACTTAAAATAAAAAACATGAAATTAAAAAATTAACATCAGTTTGCAAAGAATTTAAAATTTACAGTTAACACCTCAATGTCTCAAAAATTATAGAAACACCCTCAAAAGTTTAAATTACAAACAAGCACATTAAAATTCTAAAATTTTAAAACTTACAAACAACACAGATGAATTCAAGAGATTACCATGATACACCTAAAATTTTTGACATTTAAATTTAAAGTTTTTAATTAACACCCTCAATATCTCAAAAATTATAGAAACACCTTCAAAAGTTCAAATTAAAAAAAAACCACCCTAAAATTCTAAAATTTGTAAATAAAATAAGATGAATTCAAGATATTATCCTTAGACACCTAAAAAAATAAAAATTTGCCAAAATTAACCTCAATTTTTTTTTAAAAACTCCTTCAAAATTTAAAAATCGTAAAAAAAAACTCTAAATTTTCAAAATTTTTAACTAGCACACATCAAATTCGTCGATTGGTAGACCGCTAAAATTTAATATTTTTCAAAATTAATCTATAGTTTTAATAATTGCAAAAGAAACCCTCAAAATTTTAGAGTTACAAGAAATATACTAACATTTAAAAAATTACCACCAACACATGAAACATAGAATTTACAACTACCAAACTTAAAAGTAAATTTTTTTAAAAACTCTTTCAAAATTTTAAAAATTATAAATCACACCCTCAAAATTCAAAACCACAAAAATGGGCTAAAATTTTAAAACTTGGCAAAGAAAAGTGTAATTGTTTGGTATTTTTCATATATATATATATTAAAATTTCTAATTTAGGGATTTACTATCCATTTTCAGCATCTAAGAATAGTCTAAGTTGATACTGGTAAACAAAAACAATAAGAATTGATTAAAAACATCCGGTTAATGGATAAAATTTTTAAAAATATTATAGATTAAAAATTATCGGCACTATATAAATTAAAGTAATTTCATATAATTTTAGTAATAAGTTGGGGTAACCAAAATACATTCGTAACATTAATTGATAGATATTTAAATCCATAGAAATGATAAAACACTATAATATTATACCTTAGCATTAATTGATTTTAATTTAGAAACTTTAATATTTGACGTTAATAATATTTATAGGATAAAAGAATACAAGGAATTACATATGAAGAAACTTTTAGAATATTTAGAGATAACTTTAAAAGAATTAAGTTATTTCCATTGCAAATGGGAAAGTGATGGAAATAAATCTAAAATTCAAAAAACGTCAATGAATCACTTGAATTGGCATTAACATAAGACATATCTATTAATGAAGCACTGAATGAGTTACATTAAAAAATAATTTAATAACTTTATCCTAATCAAAGAAAAAATCTTCATGGAAGACATAAGAAAAATTAGTAAGTATTCATAAATTTCATACTGTGTTCTTCAAATTAAATATTAATATTATAATCTAAGAGAAATTGGTAATGAATAATACAGGTATTTAGTTTAGATCTTTATGAAAAATGACAGGGATAGAGCAAAGGTAATATTATTGAAATAACAGAAATTCTTATTGGATGCACATCAGAAGAATTTATTTTAGAGAAAAATAAAGAGATAACTTCTAATTTATTTAAGTAATAAATTAGGAACACAAAGAATTTTATATATATTAAATTAATATTTATTCTTATTGAAATAGAAAAAAAATCAAAGTCTATATTTTGAGCAGTGTGTGTTGAACATCATAAGTACATTTGACTTTTTTGTAAAGGTAAATGAGATGATAAAAAATTAACGAGCCTAGGAAAGATAATAGCATAAAAAATACAAATTTAGCCTGATGTCACAATTGATGTAGATGATGAAGACAATACTCTAGAATTGTCCGAGAAATGATAAATGATAAACCTGAAGAAGGATTGATCTTAACTCAATAAAAAATAAAATAGAAGAAATAAAAATAATATTTTATGAATATTTTATAGAATATATAGTTTAATTATTTTGAGTGAAATTAGGAATCTTTAGAAGGGAGTTTCATGAATTTTTTTTCAGTACTTTTATATTCTTATGTGAATGTTTTTATCATATAAAAGTAGATTAGAGTTAGCATTAATCTTTAATTTATATTTTTTTATGAAGTCTATCAATGATTAGGAATAATATTCATATTCTCTTTTACATCATTTTAACATACTTTAAATCAATCATTTTGCCATATTAGTTTTAAATATTCACCTTCCTTGTATAACACTATCATTTTGCCATATTAGTTTTAAATATTCACCTTCCTTGTATAACACTATTTTAATATTTTTCACTTTGCAATGCTATACTTTCTCAAATAAAGCTTAGTTTCATATCGGTCAAAAATAATATAAAAATTTAAATTATTTTTAAATTATATTTGTTTTTTTGTCAATTCAAATATCAACATGAAAATTTAAATTGGGTGTATCCCATTTAAACAAACATAAAAAAATAATCGGGATGTAAGAGTTTAAAGAAAAAAAATGAGCACAAACTGCCAAAAATACTTAATCGTGATATTAAATCACGTGCATTACACGTATGTAAAAACTAGTAGAAGAAAAACATACAAGATTTGTCTAACAATGCATGTGTGATGATTAGTATGAGCAGAATAACTATACATACCCCACTGGTAAAAAATAGGCTATTGATGGCGGATATCCGTGAAATCCCATCACTAATGTGTACATTGGCAACGGGAACGAACCCATCGCCCATGTTGGGCCCATGTTTAAAATTAAATTAAAAAAAAAAGTCTCCCAAACCCGAACCTTAACCCTCATTTCACCCAAATTTGTTGCTTTCAAGAAGAAAAAGAAGGGGAAAAAAGAAAACTGTTCGATCCACAACCTATGCGCCACCAGCAAGCCCGTCGTCAATGTGCATTGGCGACAGAATTATTCACATTGGCGACAGACTATCCTATCGTAAATGCACTTTTTTTCTACCAGTGTCCATTATCTAAACAACTATCCCTATCCATCAATGTGATGCCCCACTAATAATCTCGTGTCAGAAAATTGATTAGTGTTTAAGAGGGTTTAAATGATGAATCTTAAAAGTTAAGTGCAATATTGACTAGTTAATTTTAGTAATGATTTAACCCAGCTACGTATTGCACTTATGCCCTGTTTGGATGGAGGGTAGAGAAGGGGAGGGGAAGAGAAATGCAACTTTCACCTTGTTTGAGAGTTTTTTTTTAAGGAGGGTAGAGTGGAGGAAGGAAGGGGAACAGAGGGTAAAATTGTTTGGTTTTCTTCCCCCCTGATTTGGGCGGTAGAGAAGGGTAAATGAGGGTAAAGGGGTGTAATGACATTCTTACCCCCATCAAAACAAATAAAAGGGCTGATGTGTTATTAGTATAAAGTTATTTATGTAAATTTACATATATTTACTTCCTTTCACATTCATTCACCTTACTCAACTCCCAAACAACATATTACAATTCCCTTCCCTTCCTTTCTCTTCCCTTCCCGTTGTTTACCTTTCCTTCCCTTCCCTTAGTAAACTCCCAAACACATCATTAGTCAATCTCCAGACTTAGGTCACACCATCGGGCTCATGGACCCGAGTCGTGCGACAATCAAAAATCTTGACAAGAAGTTATTATTATAAACTTTCTGATTTTGCAACTCATGAATTCATATATTAAAGTCGGACGCTCATAATATGCATATAGTTTATTCCATTTTAGCTTTCATAAGTGTCTATGTTGTGCAACTCCTTATTTTTTCGTTAATAACCAATTAGTTAACTGGGCCAAGTGTAACCAAAATGCAATTTGTCTCCACCTCCAATTTTTTTTGCTTAACTGATAAAATAATGCTGCAATATTTCGTCTCATCTGTAACCACTCTAAATGATACAAATAGAAAACATTCTTCTAATATTCACTCGATATTGATTTATACTTGTCATCGGATTTACTTGCTCCAAAAATATAGTAAATAGATCACTATTTTTAATCTTAACTATTAGTTATCTAGTAGTTGATTGTGATTCTTTCTTAATCTTATACTCATCGTACCACTCGTGCATTGCACTTATTCCTAATTTGTACTAATTAAAAAAACTATACTCGTCCGCTACATAATCAATGATTGTAATTAAGTGATAGTTTTTCTATTATCTCTTGATGATAATAGTACAGAATCCAAATCCCACAAGAATATCACGTGACTCATACTTTATAGCTTAAAAGCAAATATGAAAATAAGAAAATTAACACAGACACAAACCAAGCAATCAACAGTACAAGGGATAAGGATGTGAAATCGTACAACACAAAAAACAGAGCTTATTGGCATGGAAGTACTAAATAAACTCAAACTTACAAATTAAATATTACGCGATCTGGGCGGTGGAGATCCCTCTGAGTATCCCAAAATGGCGTCCTCGTAATTTTGTCGAAACGGGACTCCTACTTGTTAGAGCAGTTGTGGTGGACTTCTAGAATTCTACTATAAAAGGGGGTCGCGTTCACCTAACCTCACCGCACCGCGTTCAGTTCTCTCTCTATTCCCTTTTGAGTCCGTTCCCCTCACCACCATGACGGTTATTGTACCGGGTACTATACTCTGCCTTCTCTATTTATTTATTTATTTATTTATTATTTTGCTGTAGTATGGTAATAATGTGATCAATGTTTAATCTATATTTAACCATAGGTTTTTGGTTTTTTTAATCACATCATTGTGGTACATTTTTATTATTATTATGACTATATATTTGAGAGATTTAAAATATGGGTAATTATAGAACCAGTGCTTGATGAGACCAACAACATCCAAGGCGAAGAAAGTTTGGTTGATGAGATTAACGATGGGGATCTAAAGCTTGATGGAGGTTTCTCTGTTCCTGATAGCAATGCTTTTGGCCATTCTTTCAGGTGATTTCATTTTTTTAATTCAAAAGAAGTAAATAATGAGCAAATATTGATCTTTTTTAAATAAAAAAACTTTGATCCTCTATGATTAATTTTAGAAAATAATGTATGAACATAAATAAATAGATCACCTATGTTCTGTTCCATGGTTATTATTATAATTTATATTCATAATGTTAGTTTACAGCGTAAAGTTTATCTCTTGCTATGTATGCATGGCACAGCTTTAAGTTTATATCAATTTTATGAGTAATGTATGAGATCAGATAACTATATTGTTAACTTATTACTTGAAATATTCTTTTGATCAAGATGTGATCTTATCCCTATACGGGCTATACCCCCCAAAGATATACAAATTGTACTAATATTTGTGATCACATCCTAATTAAAGATAAGATGATATAATTTCCATAAATAAGAAATCTTTTTTTTTCCTTCTTCTTTTTCTGGCAATTTCTTTGGGGTTCAGGGACTATGAGAAAGAGAGCGAAAGAAGAGCCAGCGTGGAGGAGTTCTATCGTACCAACCACATTTCCCAAACATTTGATTTCGTAAGATTTGGATGATGTATATCTGCATTTAAATTTTAATGATTCTCATGATGCATCATTAATTATTTAATTAATAATTGTAATTTCCCAAAAGATTCGGATTCCAGTTGATGTTGCTTTCAAATGCAAAGAGGCTGTTCAAATTTCTGTTAGGCTAACAAAATTTGTTACAGTAATCAGCTTTTTTGCTGGAAACAGCTACCCAGTCATGTGACAAACTTTGGTCACTATATTCTTAGGGTTTTTCAATAAAGTGTCCATGGGCACTCTATAAGAGAGGAGGGAGAAGTAAATTGCTCTTATATTTAGGACAAATCAGGAGGGCCCATGGGCAATTCACTTCTTTTTATCTCTCTCCTCTCTTATAGAGTGTCCATGGACACTATAGAAAAACCCATATTCTTACCCTAGTAATTAATAACTACACAAGCCTTATCTGTCACACATGACCAATATAAAATAACTAAATAAGGCATAGCATATATCTTCAATGACAAGTATTTATTAAGAATTCGGATCCTCTTCACTATCTAAAAAATAGTGGAGGGACCACTATATAATCACAACCATTAATTATCTAGTTGGTGGTTGTGATTTTTTCTTTGAGTGTAAATTAGGAAATGGTGCAATACACGGGGATACAGTGAGTGTTAAATTTAGATTGCATTATAACTGCATACTAAGTAATCAACTAAATAAGGCATAGCATATATCTTCAATGACAAGTATTTATTAAGAATTCGGATCCTCTTCACTATCTAAAAAATAGTGGAGGGACCACTATATAATCACAACCATTAATTATCTAGTTGGTGGTTGTGATTTTTTCTTTGAGTGTAAATTAGGAAATGGTGCAATACACGGGGATACAGTGAGTGTTAAATTTAGATTGCATTATAACTGCATACTAAGTAATCAACTAAATAAGGCATAGCATATATCTTCAATGACAAGTATTTATTAAGAATTCGGATCCTCTTCACTATCTAAAAAATAGTGGAGGGACCACTATATAATCACAACCATTATACCTTATCTATAATCAAATCCTAATTTTCAATGGTCAATATTACCCTTCACTATTTTGAATATTTTATGTATATATTAATCTATCCTAATCATAGTCATATCTTATCCTAATCCTATGTGAACCATGTTTAGCTTAACAATTTAGGTGCAATACACGGGGATACAGTGAGTGTTAAATTTAGATTGCATTATAACTGCATACTAAGTAATCAACGGTTAAGATTAAAAGTGGTAGTATCTCCACTACATTTTTGTAGTGGAGAGGATCCAAATTCATTTATTAATATTTTTAAATGTTAGATATAATTGAACATATAGCTGTCATCATTAACTTCTATAGGTTGAATTACTTTTCACTTTTCACTCAAGATAGAATCACAACCGACTGGTAAATATTTGTGATAAAATAAAATAAAATAAATAAACACCTACTTATTCACACCTACTGCATCATGTATGAATCCTTCCTGTGCAAATTTAAGAATAGACATTAATGCATCATTTAACACATTAGCCACGGACCACTAGGTACTTTCTCCTCTCATTAGACTCATCAAAAAGAGAGAAATTTGACAAAGAACAAGATTGATGCTGCTCACATCATGATGATTATCTTCAAAAACTGTATTAATCACACTAATGCTGTAGGCTAACAAGAAGAAGGAAGAGTATGGGAAACTAAACAGAGCAATGATGAGCATATGGGAATGCTGCGAGCTTCTGAACGAGTTTGTGGACGAGAGTGATCCGGACCTTGATGAGCCCCAAATCGAGCATCTGCTTCAGACTGCAGAGGCTATTCGTCGCGATTATCCTGATGAGGGCTGGCTCCATCTCACTGCTCTTATCCACGGTAACATTGCACATTTGCAAAACTTGAAAATTCAGAACTCATACTATCCACTTTGTAAAATAGACGGAGAAAAAAGAACCTCGTTCTACTGCTTGAAGCAATACTTGTCAATTGGACATGATCATATAGATAGTAATTAATGTACCAGCTATCTCCATGATAAGTAGGCGCTGGATGATTTCTCAATGAGCTCTCACTAATTAATATTAAATCGAGTTTAATTGTTGATTAATTATGAGCAGATCTCGGCAAGGTTCTGCTGCATCCGGCATTTGGTGGCGAGCCGCAGTGGTGTGTTGTTGGTGAGTATTAGTACCGGTACTAGGTTGCAGACAAAATGGTATTCAGCTTTCCATGGCGTTGAATGAAGTTTTTTTTTTGGCGGTTGTGGAGCTGTAGCTTTTGTCTTGTCGCTTGATATTTTCTGTTGTTGGTGCAGGAGACACGTTCCCGCTTGGATGTGCATTTGATGAGAATATTGTTCACCACCAGGTAACTTACTAATATTACACACATTCACGGTAAATTCTCATGAATATTTGATGTTGATAAAATCCTTGGCGGTTGGTAAATGAGGAAAAAGATCCGAGTCCTAGCCGCTTAAACATCGGAGACACGTGGTGAGGTTTGGCTCGGTCAATTTAGTAATAAAAGATTCGATGATAAAAAAATTACTAAGTTTTAAAGTAAATTCTGGAAGGCCACTTTAAAAAATCCCTCGAAGTTTTGTGGTGTTGGTGTTGGAGGAGGCTGTCTCGTCAGTCGTTTGCTACGTTTTGATGCGACTGCTACCCCAAACAATGGCCACAAAAATGCGTTTTAATAACTCTATTCGTGGAGAATTTGTTGTCAACTAGGATAAAACAATCAGTAATTGTTTGGCTTATTTCTCTTAAGATGTAATTAGATATTTGTCAGATCTGAATTCATATTTTTAATTATCTGATATTTAATATTTCCCTTCAAGTACTAAGAAAGACGTCTCAATCAACGCCTTTCATTAGTGTATTTTTCTTTCTTTCTTCTTTTAAATGTTAAATGGGGTTTTATTTCAAGCTCTGACTTTGACTACTGTTGTTAGTAACGTATCAGCTACGTCTGAAGCCTGGAAAATATAATTATGTAATCTTATTTGAGTAAGTTCGTATCTTCTAATGTATCTAGCATTTCTTAGTGGTTTTTAATCTTTTACGTTGATCCCAATATCCCACGTTACTAACTCACTAAGTTAGAACTCAAATACTCCTTTTAAACCTACTTTTCTTCACCACAGTACGTACCATATAACCATCAAAGAGAAAGCAGAAAGCGTGTAACAGCAATACGTAGTATTTGATAATTTAGCTAAGTTTTATTTTTGGATTAATGCAGTATTTTAAGGAGAACCCAGACTACAATGATCCTGTATACAGTACAAAGTTCGGGGTATACACACAAAACTGTGGGTTAGACAAAGTCACCATGTCTTGGGGCCACGACGAGTACATGTACCTGGTATGTGTACTCTCTTTGATCTTTATACGTCCAAACTAAAAAAAAAAAAAACCCAGTGTTGCCGAGCTCACGTTAGACTGATGACGTGGCGAATTTTCTGTGTTTGGTGTTTGGGGATGAACAGGTGATGAAGGAGAATAAGACGACTCTGCCCCCTGCAGCATTGTTCATCGTGAGGTTCCACTCGTTCTATGCGCTGCATAGAGCTGGAGCCTACACATATCTCATGAATGACGACGACAAACAGATGCTCAACTGGCTCCACATCTTCAAGTAATTAACGCATCTCTCGCTTCATATTTTCGGTCTTTTCACTGCCACAACTCAATTTGATTGATGATTAGACGTTCTTAATGTTACAACCTCAAAACACATCTTGACTTTATTTAATGTCTTAATCCAACCTAGAGGTGGTTAACAATTTCAAAACTTCTCCAGAAAGTAAGGAGCTAAAATGTGTATATTTGTTGGGTAAATTACACTAAACCCCCTGGAACTTTTGGTGTTGTGCAGTAAACCCCCACGAACTTTCAAAATCACACTAAACCCCCCAATAACTTTTGCGGAAGAACCCCATGAACTTTTAGTTAAATTACACTAGACCCTCATGAACCTTCAAAATGCCCTTTTATGTTGTTTTTTGGTTCTAATTTATGGGGGTTATCTACAAAGCTCTGAGAATTCATGTGGGTTTTCTGCAATTCCAAAAAATTAATGGGGGTGTGATTTCGAAAGTACACGGGGTTTACTGCAAAAGACAAAAAGTTCA